CTGACCGGTGGGCATACCTCAATACCCATCACATACTTTTCCCTTTCTACTAAAACTCATAGCCACATCATCCTTATGGATGCCAAGTAGGAAAATGGATGTTGTTAGCTGCACTCTCAGAAATAAATAAGCAAGTGTTTCATACTGAGGGCTCATCTCAGAACGGCCATGACCGACTCTCTGGGTACATCTCTGATCTTCACTAATCAGCTCATTGAAATTGGGGACTTTGCCGTGGCAAACTATGAAACCCAGACTTCTGGACAGAAGAGCCAAGCTTCACTAGAGTGCTGTTGGCAGTTGACGAAAGAGAGCATGGTTTTCAGGTGGATGACCTTAACGAAGCCATGCGTTTAATAGTGACTCTACACTGTAAGCAATTAATACCTCTCTTGACATTTAAACTGTCAGGCCTGTACTCAGGAAATGTTATTTTATGAAATACAAGAGTCCACACATGTAAATACTTGGTTATTAATTATTAATAAAGCATGCCATTGTTCATAGTGGCATCTGGTAACATACAACTCCAGCTCATTTATCAAAGTCTAGTTTTAACCAATATCCAGCATATAATTGCTTGAATCAAATGCATTTGCTTGTCATTTTTTATAGCAGGGCAGTTGGATATTTGCCATCATCTACTCAGAATAATATGGTAACTAATGATTACTTGTTGGCTTTGCTTTTAAGGATATTTAAAACAAATTTATCGATTGCTGGCTAAAAGATTCATTCCCCTCTAAGAGATTTGGTCATAGATCCTTTGTTTCTGGAAGAATCTGTCTCAAGTCCTTGTGCACAGTGGACTTTTTCAACATCTGCTGCAGTACTCACTGTGTTTGTGTAGATCAGAAACAAGGCCTTGGCCCCTAGAGTATGCCCATGCAAATCCCAGACCCTGAGCATTGTGTTGACCACACATTTCAAAATGTGTGGATCCAAGGAGATAGCTTAGTTAGCAAAGTATCTGCCATGTAGACATGAGGGCCTGAGTTCAGATACCCAGCAAAGGGCATGTCTATAATCTCAGTGCAGGAAGGTGGACACAGGTGGATCCCTGGAGTTCATTGGCCAGCTGCTCTAACAAACTGACGCACTCTGGGTTCAGTGGAAGACCCTGTCTCAAAAAGTAAGGTGGAGAGTGGCTGAGGAGGACGTCTGCATTCAGCATCTGACCTACACACTCATGTGTACGCGTGCACTCACTCTTACACACAGAAGTGCAAACGCCCGCATCAACGTGTATATGGGCCATATAAACTTACTGAAAAATATGCAGATAATCATTCATGGAAAGAGGGCTCTGAAGTCATGCCGATGGCATCTACATCACCACAGATGTGGGTTCACAGCACGAAAGATGGAGACTTGAGGTTGTCATTCAAACCAGGAGGGTAGCTTGACGACATAAATTTTCTATGAAATTTCTATAAATCTCTTTGTGGCTACATTCTCCTGCACTGGACCATCAAGTTCATAGCCCCTCTTAATCCTTGCACCCTAGTGAGAAACAAGCAAAAGAGAAAAAAAAAGCAAAAAAGCAAAAGCCAAAACAAAACAGAAAACAGCAGAGGCCACATGTTGCTAGCCAATCTATTGACCCCTCCCCCACCTTCCTTTCTCATGACTCCCAGCAAAGCCGGCCTGTGAAACACCAATTCTCCACTGTTCAGTTCCAAGCCTATGTGTGGCATAAACATTAAACTCTTGTCTTTGCGAATAATAGGCTTTGCTTTCTACACCCTCAAGCATGTTGAGCTACTGTGGAAGCTGGAAAATAAAAATGTTCTAATTGTGTCTTTTAAATAAGCATAGGAATGAATTAATTAGACCATATTTTGTCTTTAGTTGCTTAGTTACACAATAGCATCCCTGAGCACCGGCAAGATAAATTGGCTCTTTTCGTGCTGTATGTCCCTTAATCATAATTACTGTATTGCTTCGGAGAGTAAAGCATACATAGATTTTTTGCATTTTTTATTAATAGTCCAAAATATGCATATGATCTATAAAGTATATGCTGCTCAACCTGTTTTATATGCTTTTATGTGGGAAGAAGTTTTATTGTGGTGGTAGCATTTGCATTAGTTGCTCAAAGATGTAGTTCTGGGAAATACATAATTGAAATGTTTTTTGAATTGCTTTTTCTGGCCTTTTCAATCTTATTCAAAATAATATGCCTCTGGTCCCGGAGCAGTCACTCTCATTTGATTTAACATCTTGCTTTGCACGGTATGCATGCGCTGTTTTAACCCCTGCAGAGCACAGAGGAGGCATTGTCATTCCCTGGGTGTCATTGTGTCTGGGGGGGGCTCATGCTCTAAGGGTTTTAGGAGATGAAGGGATTTGATGGGCACCCTCATTCTCCAGCCATTGCTTCCATGACTGTTACCCTTGGCACACTTCTTCTTTTTCGGTGGTGTTAGGGTTCGAACAAGCCTGAGCCGGACAGCCTTGTGTGTTTGGCCTCTGGGGTCTGGTAGAACATAGCACTGTTAGTGGAATTTGGGTTTCTGTCCCCGCTAGACTTCCCCCAACCTCCTCCAAGGAAGGCAACTAGGAGGAGGCAGCTTAATATAGTTATTGAACAATGGGAGAGTCTGGCTTCAGACCCAATACATGCTTGGTAAATGTATGTGAAAACTGATCCCATTGTTCTGTTGTGTTTGTAAAGCGAGTAAATTATTTACAGATATTTGCTAATTAAAGCACATTTAACCAGGACAAAAGAACACAGACTTACTGGAGACAAAGAGCTGAGTGTAAGTATTTCAGTCACCCTAATGCTGTGTGTTCTTAAGAGAGAAATAAGTTTATATATATATATTAATTTTACATTTATTTCTTTATTTCGTGAGTGATGGCAAGTGGCTGTGCATGCTGTGGGCACATGTACAAGGCAGAGGACAGCTTTCAGGATTCAGTTCTCTCCTTCCACTATGTGGGTTCTAAGGCTTGAACTCACATTGGCAAGCTTCACAGCAAATGCCTTGACTCACTGAGTCATGTCGCTGGCTTGAGAAATGTGTTTTAAAACTGTGTTTGTATAGAATAGGGACATGAGCACAGGATACAGAATCTCAGTCAGAAGATGGATTAGGCCTGGTGTGTTTGTGGACAGCATGATGAGTATAAATATTAAGAGAGTAGAAGACCTTAATTTCCACCATTTGTCCTGAAGCTTAGAGGGACCTCAGTTAAAGCTCAACAAAACTTTCCAAAAGGTGACGGTTTGGGTGCCAGATGGAATTGGCATTTCTACCAACATTTGAAATGGAGGCATGGTCTCATCCATTCAGACATGTGAACATGTGCCTAACTGTGTGTTATGCTTTGCACTAAAACTATGAGCAGTGAGGACGGAGAATGACACACAGAAGGTTTTCTGTTCTCGTAGACCTCACCTCCTCATGTGAGGAAGAAGGCAAGAAACAATTTCATTGGTTTATCCAAATTCTCCATCAGTCTTAGTCTTGGCATGACATCCATGCTTCCTTCTAGAACACTTTCTGTTCTTCTTCCCTTCCCTTTCTCCCTTCCCTTCCCTTCTCCCCTTCTCTTTCCTACTCTTCCCTTTGTTCCTCTTCTCTTCTCCTCCACTTCTCTTCTTCCCATCCCCTCCTCTCCTCTTCTTTTGTGTACTCACAGACCAGAGAAATTCTCCAGCCTTCTCTATCCCCAAACCAACCATCAAGTCTCCCCTACAGTGTTACCACTGAAGTCAAAGTTGAAACATTTCCCAAAACTTAACTATTGTGTGGTAGTGCCTAGTATTCACCAATCTACCATGCATAGACTAGTTCGTTTAATTATCACTTGGATTTGTTGAGGTTTGGAGTGTTCTGATTCTTTTGTACGTGTAAAAATGGAGTAGTAAGTCTAAGTGCTGGAAAGTAACTTGCCCAAGTTCACATAAAGGTAAGACTTAGACCCAAGAATGAACCCCAGCCTCTCCCTGATTCTCTCAAGGATAGTGGGTAAACAATTTTATTAGTTCACCGTGAGTCCCCATAACTTTAGGATATACTAAGAACTCCAAATACTGGAGCCTTTACTAAGCACTGACCTGGTATTTATTTGAACCTCCAGAAATCTGTAGTTATGTTGGTAGCTGATTGATACCCATATGAGTCTATGGTAATGTCATATGCTGTATAATAGAATTTAAATGCTCCTTAGGCCCCCAGCTGGGGTCCAGAATCACAGGAGAGGAGTCTCAGCTTCCATACCTCCTGGGTGTCTTCTGAGTGTATCTAACTAGCACAGACTCAGCTTGGGAAGCCAGGCCCTCCAAGAGCATACAAGCTGCTTGAGAGTACATATATGGTTCATCAAACTATCCTAAATCAAGCCGTAACGCTGTGGCATGGTCAGAGTAATAAAGAGAAAATAGAGATTTCTGTGACATGGGTGACTGGCCACCTCAGAAAGGTCTGTCAAAGTATTACAGGAGAAATCACCTCTAAGCTGATGTCTAATGCCATTTCATGGTGAAAACTGAGATTTCTTGACAAGAGAAGGCAGGATCAGCATTCCTATAGGATGATGGGAAGGGACCTGACCTTGTGAGTCCAGTGACCCAGCTGTCAATACTACAGATGCCCTGTGGAGACGTCTATTCTTCATCCAGACCCCTATAAAACATCTTCCGGCTAACCACATTACTTGACTGTGGCAATGATGGGAAGCTAAGGCCCAGATACCAAAATCTATCCCATTGCCTATTTGTTTTGATTTTCTTTAAGTCAATAAAGTTTTATAGGTACATGCCATGGCCTGGTATTTACAAAGGTCTCTTTACAGTATTCACACTATAGTGGCTGAGTAGTTATGACAGAGACTTACCGAGACTAAAACATTTGGTGCCTGATCCTTTCCTGATAACCCTTGCCAAATCCTGATCTAAAATAACGTTATCAAAGTTAATCTTAAAACTCCCCGCTGACAGTTTTATGTGCAACCTTTTGTTTACATCTTACCACGGAAAGACTATGAAGAAGGTTTTCATGTCATCTCCATTTTGCAAAAGGATAATTTGAGCACTTGTACAAATGTTCCAGGTTTCTAACCTCATCCATCAAGAAAATGGCGGGACTGAATGGGAACTTGAATTTTCTTGATTCCAAGTGACTGATGATCTAGATAGAGAAACCTGGGTCTATTCTGGTTACAAGTAGAGAAACAGAGGCACCAGAGAAGGGAAGCACCAATGAGTCGAGGCTTCGCTGAGGCAGAAACTGCACACAAACAGCTTCTGTCTTTCCATCTTCCATCCAAAAGCCACTTCCTCCAAGATGACTCCTGTGGCTGTCTTGAGGAAAGGGACCTGCGGAGCACGCACATGTAGGTGCCCCCCAGGTCAGCTGGGAAATCAGACAGTGAGGGCAGATGGATGTGAGGGACAATACGATGTCTAGTAGGTTACTGGTGACCATATGACTCACTTGAGGTATGGCTCCAACCCAGGAATGGTCTCAATTTTGCCAAATCTTCCGTTTTTCACAAGAAGCAAGAAACCCAGTTTTTTTTTTTAATGATTTTCCATTGTATCCACTTTTTGACACACTCTGTGGGACAAACAAACACAACCTTTAGCCTTGATGTGACCCATGGACTGCCACCCTGAGTTTCCTCACTAAGAAATGGGTGAATGAAAATGGACTGGGAATATCAAATAAAATCCACAAGGGTGTCAGAACCAAACTAGGACCCGGACTTATCCTAGACCTTTGGCAGATGTTGGGTGTATACCCTGATCTTCCTAGTTCTTGATGGATCCTAGTTTCTCCTAGCTTTTTGAAGTCTGTCATGGCTTAGAGAACCTGCTAGCAGCCCCTTAATAAGTAATTTATTGGTTTAGTCACTGGACTATTGTTTGAGAAACAATAACTGAGAAAAACAATGACACAAGGGGTTAAGCTTCCTGGGTCTCTATCTAGCCCAAGAGACCATTACAAGTGAGGTTCAAAGGATTTGATCTGTGTTTGAGACTTCTGGACTCTGAAGGCAACAAGCTCAGATCATTCCTGTCCTGGCCAATGGACATATTAAGGGGCTTTAGTGGGCATAACAAAACACAATGAGACCAGAGGACGTTGGAGTCAAGGGACAAAACCTGTGTCCCAGAACTTCCCCCTCAGTGTGCCCAAGTTCACACCTGCAGCTTCCCACATGTCGTCCCCTACCCCTGTTTCACAGTGCGATCACCAGGAAACCTGGTGGCTAGTGAGTGTGTAGCGTGCGTTTATTTTAAATACGTCCACATTTCCTCCATTTAAAACAAGTCTCTGCCTATCCCTGCTTCTTAATTTGAAATTTTGTGTAGTTCCTTTCCTTCCTGTTGCTGCTCCTCTCCCTCTCCTTCCTCCCCCCTCCTCTGTTTCCTCTTTCTCTTCCTCTTTTTCCTCTTAGTCCCCCTCTTATTTCTCGGCCTTCCTCCTCCTTTCTTTCTTCCTCCTCTTTTTCATGGTTCTCCTCCTCTTCCCTTTCTTCTTGTCTTCACTCTTTCCTCCACCTCCTTTCTGGCGGTGGTGGGTCAAGGGTTGTACCCCACTCTAATCCTTTTGAAGATGGAAACAAAACCCACACGGTGTGGGGGGGGTGCATCCCAGCCAGACTGACTGGGTTGACCCTAGGAAAATCCACTAAACCAGTGGTTCTCAATCTTTTTTGGGGGGAGGGGGGACAAGCGACCTTTGCACAAGGGTCGCCTAGGACCATCAGACAACACAGATATTTATATTATGATTCATGACAATAAAGAAATTACAGTTATGAAGTTGCAATGAAAACAAATTCATCATTGGGAGGCTCACCACAACATGAAGAACTGGATTAAAGTTGCAGCATTGGGAAGGTTGAGAAGCACGGGTCTAAAGGGGAGACTGGCAGCTGGGATATTCAGTCCTTTTGCTTTGGGTTAATCCCATAGTGTGTATCAGGTTACTAGAATTCAGTTAGAAACACTGTAGTAGTTCTCCTTGTCAAATTATTCCAAAGCATATGGGTTATAAATACCAAAAAAAATTTAAAAAGCCATCTAATTTACTGTGTCTTAAGTGAAATTATCTGTCCTTCCTCTGTTCCCAGTGAACATTCACTGTGATAGCTAAGTTGTATTTTGTGTTCCTAAAAGTTGAATATGTCATCAGCAATAATGTATTGGGTTGTAAAATATCTATCCCGGACTCTAGGGGCAAGCAAAAAAGAAGGTTCTGGTAAAAGGGGCTGAATATGTTTTTGTAATGCAAATTTTATGAGTCACATAAATGGTAATATCTTTTAAAATTATCAGTGGGCTCTGTTTCCTGTTTCTTTACAGTGGAGGTTCTGTTTCTTCACGTTTGATGTTACTAAATCAGTAGTTTAATAGTCAGTCAAGCAATTATCCAAATCACTCCTAGTCTCAGGAACCTTAAAGGAATGCTCTGATTGGCAGAGGGAGAAAATATTCTGGCTATTCGAGAATATAAAGATGACTTGGTTGCCTTAAGTTTTTTCACTCTTTTTTCCTTTAAAAACAATCTTTTTTTATTGCTTGCCCACATGCTTGTTCATGTGTGTATCTCTCTCTCTCTCTCTCTCTCTCTCTCTCTCTCTCTCTCTCTCTCTCTCTCTCTCTCTCTCTGTGTGTGTGTGTGTGTGTGTATGTATGTATGTGTATGTATGTGTTTCTTTCTTCCTTCTTTAAAAATTTTATTTTTGGTACTTGCCTACATTTGTGCGCATGTATGTGTACACACACACACACACACACATGCCTGTCCCTCCCTTCTCTCTCTTTTAGTGGAAAAAAGAAAAATCAACTTTGTCTAGATTTTGGCCACAGATTTTGCAGGGTTGTGTACCCATGGCCTTACAGATCTCATGTGAAGCCAACACATTGCTAGGTGCTCACCTGGGCCAGCAGTCTTCAGAAGTTGAATTTTGATTGACAATCTAGAAAGAAGACAAAAGCCACACGCCATAGATGCCTTCTATGGTAGCTGAGAGCACAATACAATATTACTCTAGAAAAATAAAACATTTCTATTTTAAGCTGTAAGTCTTTGCCTTCCATTTAATTAAACCTAATCAATATTTATTAGTATTATGAGGGTATTATTGAGGGGGGTCAATGGTAAGAATGTTATCAATCCCTTTTTCTCTAGTTACTTCTTTCATTGGCAACATTAGATTCCTTTGCCCCTCCTATCTTGAAGTGTACATTGGAGTTATTAGGCAGTTCTTGGAAATGTCCACCGGTATACCCTGATCCCGGATGTAAGCAGAGGCATGGAGTGTTTTTCTGTTGGCTTATCATCTGCTTAGCAGAAAGCAAACTGGTTTCCAGGCATAGCTGAAACTGGAGTTTAGTACCTAAGTCCACAGATTCCATTCTGTTGTTTCATGATAGCATGCAGGGTGTCTCTGTCACAGACCTGGGTTTTGCTTATCTCTTTCTCAGGCAGTAAATGATTCCAGCTTCAGTGTCTTAGATAACACTTATTCTTCTCTGGCTCTGTGGGTCAGGGGCCTGGGAGGGGTTTACTTGGGCTCTATGTCCTTCAAAGCAGCAATCATGCTTTTCCATCCAGAAAACTCTGCCTAGAGGGAATCAACTTCCAGGTTTTGCACAGGAAGGCCCGACATCTCCAGGGCTGTTAACCTGCACTTCAAGTGGTCTCTTGCTGTGGCAATGGGCACCTGTGAATATCTAGTCACACATGGTAGCAGACTTTGTCAGCTTGCATTCCATAAGCTAGTTTCAGAAGGGGCATTCTATCCCTTTGTGCTTAATTCTGCTGATCAGAGTGAGAATGTACATGTAACCCACACTCAAATGGGTAGCAGCACAAGGGTGTGGATATAAGAGAATGGGGTCTTTGGGGACCTCTAGGTGACTGCCTATGGCCATCAGCATCAGAAGTGATCTTGGTAGTGGACAGCTGGGCTGCTGTGAATTGAATGGTGTTCTTGACCCGTCTTGTTCTTTCGTTTCCTCCTCTATTCTTATTAGGCAGTCTCCTTGGGCAGTTTTCCCCCTAACACCTCCTTCCTCTTGTAGGCATGTAATTATAGATCACACACACACACACACACACACACACACACACACACAAGGCAGCAGATTGCTTTCACCTTTGAGGATTTGTTAGTCTTACAGTGTGTCAACAAGCCATATTGAGTCTTAAAAAACAACCCACAAAAAACTTAATGTCTTGATCAACGAATTTGGGGAGTTTACCTGGAAAGGGCATTGTATCTGATGTGGTAAATCTACAGAGAAGGGGAATGCAGAGCCTGTAGCTGATGTATGCAAGCATCGTGGTACATAAGAGGAAATCTGTCTCTGTCCTGAATGGTCATTGGGGTGGGGCGTTAAATCAAGATGGTTCTGAAAGACAACTAAAAATCCAGATAAGAGGGATTGTTCCTTGGATTTGTGTTTCTAATGGGCAAGATCATTCAGGACAGATGAGTGAGTGAACTCTCTGGCCAGGGTCACCTCCAAGCCCTTCAACCTTGTTTTTCAAGTCAGAAGAACAGCGGGTCTGCTGTCCCCTAAATTCCATAGAAGTTACCAGTTCTGTGGGGAGATTGACCTGTTTTTCTTTTAAGGAATAATGCGAGTTGATTTCCAGCAACATGTTCCAGACGTACATATATAGGCACTAAATGTCTGAAGAGAAGGTGCCGTGAAATATATATATAAATACACACACACACACACACACACACGCACACACGCACACACGCACACACTACATTTACTTTCTTCCCCTGAGACAATGTTGTTTCGTTTTGAGACAAGGTCTCAGAAAGCCCAGGCTGGCTTTAAACTTACTGTATGACAAAAGGTGACCTTGACCTGATGATCCTCTAGCCTCTACTCCCTGAGTGCGGGGATTAAACCTGTGAGCCACCATGTCTGGTGGTTGAGGCACTGTTATAGAATCCAGGGCTGCATGCACACCAGGCAAGCATGCTACCAAATGAACTGAATGGCCAGCCTATATTCCTTTGAGGGTGTTTGCAATGTTGGTTCTACTGAACTGTATGTATGACTAAAGAGAGGGTCATGTGTTAAGCTAAAAACAAACAAACAAACAAAAACAACAAAACACAAACCCAGAAGCTGTTAATGTTTTTGAGTAATTCCACATAATAAAAGATCAGGACAAGGCAGTAGTTGAACTTTGGAGTCAGTGTGACTAGTTAGTTCCAACAGAAAATGCTTATAAAAGGCTGGTAAGACAGCTACACTGGCAAAGTTTTCCCCACATCGGCATGAAGACCTGAGTTCAATTCCCAGTACCCATCATAAACCTGCACCTATAATCTCAATGCTATGGGTGAGGAGGGAGAGAGAGACAGGAAAATCCCCAGTGGTCATAGGCCAGCCAAACCAGCTGAATCGTTGGGGACCAGGTTCAGTGAGAGACTGTATCTCAAAAACTAAGTAGAAAGCAATTGAGGAGGAGGCGGCCAGTGCCTCCTCACAGAGAGACAAACACACAGGAGAATGCTCTTAGAAGCTGCTCAGGTGAGTTCTCATACCGAAGGAGGCTCCTTTATCTTTTTGCTGTTTCTGTCTCAGTGGCCAGAGCTATATAATTGGGTGCCTGGCTAGATAGAGCAATCTGAAAACAGTTAAAACACAGATTGTGGCGTTAACAGCCCACTAATTTGGCCAAAGGAAACACAGCCAAGCCCAGTTCTCAACTCATATCTTCACATATCTAGGACTCTGGGATACAATTTCTCCATCTCCGTGAAAATTGTTCTTAATTTTAAGGAGGAAAGACAAAAGGGAAGAAAATGGAACTGGAAATTAATTGCAGGCTATTTCTGGGAGGTTTCTCTCTCTCTCTCTCTCTCTCTCTCTCTCTCTCTCTCTCTCTCTCTCTCTCTCTCTCTCTCTCTCTCTCTCTGTTTTTTTGTTTGTTGGTTTTTGTTTTTGTTTTTTTTTGCCGGGGGTGGGGGGTAGTCTCCTGAGGCAGGGAGCCTGAAGCCTAACAGGTTTTAGATTAGCAATATATTAAGATGTATTCAGGAACACACAATATTTAGTACTTCTTGAAATACTTACTTGATGGTCAAATGCTGGGGGCCTTACCATGCAGGACAGTCACATTACAGGTCACGTTACATTTAACACATGACACCTCCAGAGCCGTGTTCTGTGTGACAATGTCTTCTAATTGTGCTAGGACAGATTCTCATAGTCCATGGAGCTACAGGCTTCACTCAGTGACTCTTGAGAGTAATGGAAATGCTGGAAGAGGAGGGGCCCGTATTAGAAGACAGGAACTCTTTCGAGAAGCTTGGGACTCAAGATGAACCGTAGCATGTTTTAAGATCTGTCACTGACCCACCACAGAGTAGCTTCTCCATATTTTTAACTAGAGCTTGAATGGCAATGTCTGCCTCACTGTATGCAAATGAGAGTCCCTTTTGTGTTCAGGTTTTCCAAATCACACCCATCCCAGGGAATTGGCAGATGAGAGGAGTCAGCTGGATTTGATTCCCAGAACCCACATGGTAGAAGAGAATTGACTTCCACATGATGTCCTCTGACCTCCACATGTCAACACATACACACACACACACACACACACACACACACACACACACACACACACACACACAGTAAATAAAAAATAAATGTAATAAAAATTCTTTAAAAGGAATAGCAAGATGACTCGATAGGTAAATAAAGGCCCCTACCTTCAAGCCTGACAAGCAGGGTTCTAATCCAAAAATCACAAAATGGAAAGGCAAAATTAATTTCCACAAGGAGTACTTCTCTCTCTCTCTCTCTCCAACATTTTTAATAAAAATATTTTTAATTATGCCCGTGCTCCTTACATCTAACACAGCACTTGGCTCTTCAGGAAGGACAAGAGAGTTAAACAAGGGTACAAATGTGACTCTAGAAAATGTTTACAATCTGATCTTTCACTGGAGATGACAGAATCATGCAATTCATCACCAAATACTGACGCCAAAGGAAGGCTTGGCATTATGTTTCAGGTAATAATAGCAGTGATTCTCAGTGAGGACACCAACGTAGACAACTTAGAGTTGATAGCTTCTCATTTTTGCTTCATAAGGACATTAGGAAGTAACAGCTACCACCTGTTGCTATCCTCAGGTCAGAGAGGGTGATATTAATCCTGAGGAAAGATTAGAATTTTAGTGGAGAGTATGTTTGTGAGGTCCCTCCATGTCTGGGCTGGTCACTTCCTCTCTCCATCCGCCGATGTAGACTTCATCAACAGGTATTTCAGCCACAGTGCTGCCCTTCTAGGATTTGGGATGAGAAGTGTTTCAAGGCAAGCGTGTTTCCTTTTGTTATTCCTAGGTCTATCCAAGCACATGGTGGAAGTGTCTGACCTGACCCTGCTCACTAACCCTGCCCTTCTGTGACCCTTTGGTCTAGGATGGTGTCACTGCGTTGGTATCAGCCTAGCTCCTGTGTTAGCCATCTCTTGTGTTTCCTTCATGTCCCACCCCACAGACTCAAGTTTCTGTGGCTTCCTTTGTAGCCACTCACCCATTTGGGCTATCCTGATTGAAGTAGTCTCCTTCTCGCTGTGGTCCTGAGAGCTACGAGCGCAGTCATTGAAACCAGCAAGTATGGCATGATGAAGCTCTCCGTGACCCTCTTATTTCCCCCACCTTACCACAGGCCAACAAAAATCTTCCTTAACGCTATTCATTTACCTGGCACACGAACATTTGTGCTAGACCTGTGAGTGTCCTGTGAGCAAACCACCAACACCAGTGTTTGAGACTACAGTTGAGCAAACGGGAGGTGCCTCATATTATATACGTGTTGGAGGAGGGACTGCAGATCAGGAGGTACCAACAGAGCTAGGCTCTAATGTGGCATGCCCTCCCCTTTACTGATGGGCACCAGTACACAGCAGACGTGTGCCTGTCCAAGCAGGATACTTTGTAGGAGTTGACATGGTCATTTCCTTCATTCTTAGTTTCCATCTGGATGAAAATATACAATTCTTAAAAAATTTTTTTTCGTTTCTTGAGAATTTCATACAATGTATTTTTGAACATACTCATCGTCTCCCCAGCTCGAAAATTCACTTCTTGAGAATTTCATACAATGTATTTTGAACACATTCATCCCCTCCCCAGCTCTTCCCTCTCAACCACACTCCCTTCCCTTTCCAGACAACTTTGAGTTTTCTCCCCCACCCCCCATCAAGTCCAGTTTGTGTTGCTCAACTAGTTTCTGGAGAGGGGCCTGCTCTGGCATGTAGTCAACCTACCAAGGATCCCATTATTAGAGAAAATGGACTCTCCCTCTCCCCCTGCAGCTGTGAGATGCCAATCACTCCCTAGTTAGCGGCAGATTCCACGTTCACATCCCACTTCCATGCAGGGATTTTCTTTGGCTTGTGCTTGTGCAGATATTGCATATGGCCTTACAGTTGCTGTGGTTTCTTACGTGCCCCTGGCCTGCTGATCCAGAAACCAGCTTCCTTGATGTTATCTAGCACCTCTGGCCCATAATCTTTCCACTCTCTCTTCTTCTGTAATGAGCCCTGAGCCTTGGGGGCAAGAGTGTGATCCGTGTATTCCATTTAGGGCTAAGCACCCTACAGTCTCCCATTCTCTGCACCTTGACCCATTCTCGTGGAACCCAATGAGCCACACTTTCGGCCTCGCGGTTTGCTTAGTTATGACCACGTATTCCTGTGCTCTGTGCTCCCAAGTTCTGCCATGTTTTAAAGGCTGCAGAGCACATTTCGAAATCTGAGATGGTCATGGCAGACTGAGATGAGCATGTCCTGCTCTGGTTCCCTCCCCCTCCCCCACAAGCCCTCTGCTATGCCCTTGGGGCTTAGCTGACTGAAACTCTGCTCCACAAGTGGTCTGCTGTTTGCTGCCACATGGTAGGAGGACAGAGGTTCCCCCCTCCTGACACAGAATTTGTTAGCAAAGACATAGCTGTGTGTTTCAAAGATTCATTATGGTTGTTTAAACACATCAGAAGTTCAAAATCTCCCTCTCTCGCTAGCTAAGGTCTTTAGATGGATCCAGGCTGTGGCTGTCCTGAGAGGGCTAGGCCCCTACCATCTGTTTTTCAATTGTATAGTCTAAAGCCATGCTCACTCTCTCTGTGCACAAGAACTGGAAGGTTCGAATGTCACTACTATATACCACTGCTCACAAGTTGGCCACATGGATGCACCCAGCTGGAAGGGAAGCAGAAGATGGCATCTTTTATTCTGTGCCTTGAGGGCTCTCCCTGGGAAAGAATGGAAGCTCGTCTAGTGAGGAGTAGTTAGCCATAGCTAGGACTGGGGTGTTCAGTTCCTCTCATGCCAGGTGAGGTATTTTCTATCAAGCTAGCAGAAGCAGCTGTATAGTCAGCTTCAGTTGGTGCTGAGACACTGAAAGCTGGGACCTGGCTGAACTTTTGGAACTGGACTTTAGAATGTCATCACAAGCTTTAGAGATGAGCTTTGTGAAACTCCATGGAGAGTGATTTCCTCAAAGAATGAAACACACAAAAGGAAAATCTGGGCCTAGCCTGCATCTAAGAACGTTTCCTCCATTTTCTCCTTGGGCGTGGAATGAGGAAGCAAAAAACAAAAACCCAGGATACAGCTAAGCAGAGTGGAGGGACCCTGCGGGTACTGGGCAGCTGTCCGGGCAGCTGTTCTCCAGGGGTCTGCTCCAGATCAGTGCACTGATCACCTTTGTTCCAGACTCTCTTTTCAAAGATGTACATGCAGTTAACAGCCCTGGAACTCAAAGGCAGTGTCTGACTCCAGAACAAAGACCAGGTCCAGCGCCGAGCACGTGGGTAACCTAAGCTGGTCTCTTTCCAGCAATGCATGCCATGTGTAGGCAGCTCTATCCTTCTTTGTGCTCTCCTCAAGGAGGTGGAGCATAGAGAAACAGGCACAGATGTGTGATGGTGTGGTAGGTGATCTCATAGCCATGTAAGGGGATGGACCCCATTGAGGCCTTCCTAGCACGAAGAGGGTTTTAGTTCAAGGGTAAGTTAAGTCAAATACTACAAGGAGGTCAAGGGGAAAAAATAAGAAAATGCTCTACTTTGGTGGCAATAATACAGAAGTTCTTAACCTTTGTTTTGTTTTTGTTTTTTTTTCGAGACAGGGTTTCTCTGTGGCTTTGGAGGCTGTCCTGGAACTCGCTTGGTAGTCCAGGCTGGTCTCGAACTCACAGACATCTGCCTGCCTCCGCCTCCCGAGTGCTGGGATTAAAGGCGTGTGCCACCAACGCCCGGCCTTGTTTTGTTTTTTTAAGTTTTGCTTTGTTTTTCATTCAAGACCCTTTATTGTAAAAGAGTGGAGGACTCACAGAATATTTGTTTATGTGAGCTCTAGCTGTTGGTTTTTATTGCATTAAAAGTGAAACAGAAACTACTGAAGTATAAAATTCATTACGAAATAGTAGTGTGATACTTATAGGTGAAAACAATGGCTGTCATGTGGACTCTCATCACCTAACTCCAAATTAAGTTCAAACACATCACACAGCTGAATGTAAAAAGTACAAAATGTTTGGATGCAAATACCAATACTTTGTGACCTGAGATTAGGCAAAGTTGTCAGAGGTTTAAAACTCTCTCTCTCTCTCTCTCTCTCTCTCTCTCTCTCTCTCTCTCTCTCTCTCTCTCTCTCTCTCTCTCTCTCTCTCTCTCTCTCTCTCAATCCATAAGAGAAAAAAAGTGAGCCAGCAACACACACATGAATCTAAGACTTCTTCAGTGACAGGCTCTGCTACAGTGAAAAGACATTATTTTTTCCAAAGATTTTTATTACTCTATGTGTGTGTGTGTGTGTTTGTGTGTGCGTGTGCACGCTTTACAGTGTGTGGGAAGGTGTCCACAGAGGCCAGAAGAAGTATGGAGTCCCTGGAGTTGAATTTCCAAGTGTGTGTGAGGTGCCTGGTGGGGTGTGCTGTCAACAAGTGCTCCCTGTACCTGCTGAGCCATCTCCCTGCCCCTGATAAGATGGAGTTCAATCAATAAATCTGACAAATGACTTGAACCCAGAAGTTACAAAACCATTCAAAGCTCAAGAGTAAGAGAACAACCACATTTTTAAGACCATATAAAAGATTTAAATATATATTTAGCAAAAAAAAAAGTACAGATACCAAACTAGTACCTGGAAACTAGTATTTTGGCATCATTAGTCATGAGGGGAAAATGGAACTGGAAACCGATAAGATGTGAGAAACCACCAGACAGTTAATTAGCAGTGACAGTGTCGT